GAGGACCAAAAAAACCCAACCCAACCCACCACCATTGAGTCAATTCCAACTGATAGCAATCCCCATTGGGTTTCCAAGGCTGTAAATCTTTACCAAAGTAGATTGTCTCATCATCCTCCCGAGGTGCAGCTAGGGGATTTGGATCACTGACCTTCTGGTTAGCAGCTGTGGCGGTGAAGTTTGAGTGTCAACTTGGCTGGGCCTGGTTGAGTGGCTGGGCAGCTGGATGTAGTATTCCCCATGATGAGACTGGCAATCAACGCCATGATGAAATCTACTGTGAGCCTTAGGGATGGGGTCTGCTTCCTGTATGTAAGCAGAAGCCTTGGGGACTGGTCTCAAGTTTATGGCACGCTTGAACCTTTCATGTAGCCGAGTTGTCATTCAGCAGCCTGCCATGCTCTGCCGACCCTAGGCCTGCCATGTGGTTTGGTAGTATCAGGACTGTACCTTAGTACCTGTCAACTTTGGGCTTGTCAGCCTCAATAGCCAGCAGCTGAGTGAAGAAAAGCCTCCAGCTTCAGTGGCCCAGGAGCAGGAGGCAAAGATGCAGCCCAAGGTTGAGGGGCTTTCACCCAGCCCCTAGAGCCTGGCATTTGCACTCAGACTTAAAGCTTCCGAATTGTAAGAATAAACTCCTGTTTGTTAAAGCCATCCCATTTGCGGTACATTCCTGTCAAGAGTGGCACTAGATAACTAAAACAGCAGCCAAATGCCTTACCCACTGTGCCACCAGAGTTCTGAGTCATAGTAAAATCTGGAAGCAAAATCCCATTATAGCGAATGAGTTGGTGAAATAACCCCTAGAGCACGGCTGTACAGGGGACCAGTGACTGGCGCATAGGCACTGAAGGTGCTGGAGAACATTCAAGGTCACGGGAAGGTGAGCCACTGAGGATGTGCCTGGCATGGGTGTAAACACCCTACACGCATGAACAGATCTCTGGGTGGCACACGCAGTTAAGTGCTCAACTAATGGCCAAAAGGTTGGCAGTCTGGACCCACCCACAGATGCCTGGGAAGACAGGCCTGGCAATCTGCTTTGGAAAGGTCACAGCCTGGAAAACCCTACGGAGAGGTTCTACTCCGCACACCTGTGGTCGCCATGAGTCGAAATCAATAGCAACTAGCAACAACACCACATATTAACTCTTGTAATTTTCACACCACCTGCAAGAGGCTGACACTATTACCATTCCCATTTATAGAAAGGAAAAGTCTATCAAGTAATTTGTCCAAGGATTGCTAGTAAAGGCATTGATGGCTCAGTGGTAGACTTCTTGCCCTCTATGCAAGAGACCCAGGTTCAATTCCCAGTCAAGGCCCCTCATGCGCAGCCACCACCCACCTATCAGAGTTTGTGTGCTGCTGTGATGCTGAACAGGTTTCAGTGGAGCTTCTGGACTAAGACCAGGAGGAAAGGCCTGGCGACCTAGTCAGAAATTAGCCCCCCAGTTCACAACGGTCCAATCCACGTCACATGGTTTGGTAACATCCAATCCAATCATCCCAGCTGATCCGCGGGATGGTGCAGGCCTGGGCAGCATTTCCCTTCATTGTCTATGAGGCCCCCATGAGTCGGGGCTGACTTAGTGGCAGTTTATAACATGCTGTTCATAAGTGGAATCAACCTAGGCTGTCAGGTTGCATGCAATCGATATTCAAAGGTGGAGGTGAGGGATAGAGACCAGAGCCTAGAACAAGGTGCTCAAGCGTACTTACTGACACATGTGGACAGGTGCTATGACTAGTGTTAAGGTCTTACAGTCCAGTTACCTCATTTTGATTTGTGAGCCCAGAACTGTTGAGTTGATACCATGGGGACCAGGTTCTGATCCTTGCTAAGCAACAGAGAGCTAAGTGTTGGGAGCTGCTCCACTGCACTCCCATGCCTCAGTTTCCCCAAGATGCAATGAAAAGGTGAGAAAAGATGCCCTCCACTCCGGCGCCCTACACCCTCCCTCCACTCTGGCGCCCCAGCCCCTCCCTCCCTTCCACTCCGGCATGTCTGCCACCATCCCAGATATTTTCCACAGATCACCACTGATCACTTATCATCCCGAGAACAGCCCGAGGCATCCCAGAAACAGCTGGATGGAACAGCAGCAGCCATTTCTAAACACCACCTGGGCCCCAGCGCGTGCCTCTG